CACCAGATGTATTTGGTGGCACTGACTGGGGAAATGGGCACAGTATGCACTGTGAGCCTGACACAGAAGCTGGCAGCAGTGGCGGACAACTGACTGCTATTCAATCTATAACAGTGAAAAAAGTTTTTTGTTTTTAAATCCAAGCTATTGTGACACCAGATGTATTTGGTGGCACTGACTGGGGAAATGGGCACAGTATGCACTGTGAGCCTGACGCAGAAGCTGGCAGCAGTGGCAGACAACTGACTGCTATTCAATCTATAACAGTGAAAAAAGTTTTTTGTTTTTAAATCCAAGCTATTGTGACACCAGATGTAATTGGTGGCACTGACTGGGGAAATGGGCACTGTGAGCCTGACACAGAAGCTGGCAGCAGTGGCAGACAACTAGGTGCATTTACATTACATAGAAAAAATCCAAAAAGCATACTTATCCCTAAGCACAGCTGTAGCACTTTCTATCACTATGAACAACAGCTACACTTTCCACTCCTCTTACTAAGCATGCAGCTTGAGAATGAATCTAAAATGGATGCTGTCCAAAGTAGAACCTGGGAGGGTCTGCTAGGGAGGCTGCGCTGCTAATTGGCTGGAATGTGTCTGCTGACTGTGAGGTACAGGGTCAAAGTTTACTCAATGATGACGAATAGGGGGCGGGTCGAACCGCGCATATGTTCGCCCGCCGTGGCGAACGCGAACATGCTATGTTCGCCAGGAACCGTTCGCCGGCGAACCGTTCGGTACATCACTATTCTCTACTAAGCCACATTGGTTTTAATTTATTTCTTTTATATTTATTTCCCAACGGTACATACTGAGAAATGTACCTTTTTAATATTTGTTGGAAGATGATCCATTTATCCTCAGTGTTCTTTTCACTAAAGAGTTTATGCCAGTCAATATATTGTAAAGCTTCCCTTAACTTATTGAAATTGGCCTTTTTAAAATTATATGTTTTAGTATTCCCCATGTGCTTTTGTTTTGAGTTTATTTCAAAGGACACTATATTGTGATCACTATTTCCCAAGTGCTCACCTACTTGAATGTTAGTCAAAAGATCAACGTTGTTTGTTAAAACCAGGTCCAGACAAGCGTCCATTCTAGTTGGTGCTTGTACAAGTTGTGACATGAAGGTGTCATTTAACAAGTTTAGAAACCTAATTCCCTTTGCTGAGGCACTAGTCCCTCTGTCCCAATTTATATCCGGGTAATTAAAATCTCCAATAATTAAAGTGTTACCCAGATTTGCAGCTTTCTCAATTTGCTCAAACAGCTGTTGTTCCTCGTCAATATGACATACAAACATACCCCACCACCCTTCTTGTTTTTCCTATCCTTCCTAAATAACGTGTACCCATTTAAGTTAGCTGCCCAGTCATGTGTCTCATCCCACTATGTTTCAGTTATGACTATTATATCATATTGTTTAGTGTATGCTAATGCCTCTAGTTCCCCCATTTTGTTATTTAGGCTCCTTGCATTAGTAAGCATACATTTAATATTATGCATCACTTGTATATTTTGTGAATTTTCAACATTACACAGCTTCTCTGTTCTGAGCTTGCCCCTCCCCCCGTTTCCACCCCCTTATACTGTGCTAAAGCCCATCTCCTTTCTGTCCTATCTCCATTTTGTAGATTGTTATGACCCTCCCCCCCTACTACTAGTTTAAAATCTCCTCCAACCTTCTAGCCATCCTATCCCCCAGCACTGCAGACCCTCTCCCGTTTAGGTGCAATCCATCACCACTATAAAGGTTGTACCCAATCGCCAAGTCGGCCCAGTGCTCTAAAAACCCAAAACCCTCCTTCCTGCACCAAGAGTTAAGCCACGCATTGACCTCTCTAATCTCCCGCTGCCTTTCCCCTGTAGCGCGTGGCACAGGTAATATCTCAGAGAATACCACCTTGGAGTGGTAGAGGTTAACACAGTGAAGGAGTTTAAGCATGTATGGGATAGGCATAAGGCTATCCTAGACTTAAGATAAGGCCAGGGACTAATTAAAAAGTGTTTTGAAATATTGAGCAGACTAGATGGGCCGAATGTTTCTTATCTGCCGTCACATTCTATGTATTGTTCCTAGCTTTGAGTATTGCATGGATATCTCTATAACTAACTCTTAGTATTGTATGGGTAACTCTGTATGAAGTTAAGTGGACAGATGCCACAGCTCAGAAGATGATGGCTAAAGAGTTATAGGGTGAAGTCAAATTTTGTGGGACAAGTGTGACCCCACACTTCACCACCCACCACAGGTAATGGAAAATACATTTTCTAATAGATGTTGATGACAGAGGTGCTATAAAGTTACCAGAGTTATATGTCTTATAATACAAAATCCTTAGTTAGGCTAAATATTAGTGGAATATATACAGTTGATTCACAGGAGGAAATAAAAGTGGTCTCATATTTCATCAGCTGATAGGTGATTGGATTTGCATAGTTTGTCTTTGTTTTAAATTTTATTCCTGTAAATTCCTAATTTATCAGTTCCATTAAATACATTTGTTTGCAGAACACAATTGAAAATGTATTATGTAGCTATAAATGTTACTAAACCCTGATGCATGCCTTAATTTTAATAAGGTAATATTTAATATTTTTGTATGTACAATAAGTTTGAATATCAAATTCCCTTGGGTCCCGTATGTATGGGCTGAGCAGAACTGTAGGCGCTTTCCTATATTCTATTTTCATTACAGAGATTTTGCTTCATTGATGCCACCAATCTTTATCTTATCTCATTACATCAACCACTGTATTAAAAATGATCTCACTGTTTTTAATCTTTTCACTTATGACAATTTATTAGGGCTTTATAAATGGGAACAGGACCTGTCCAGTTTGAGATTCCCCCCTGAGGAAGGCTTAGTGCCGAAACGTTGGGGTGCTGTGGTCTCCAGCTCGGTCAGTATACCTGTTGCAACACTGGGGTTAAGGCATTGAGCACTTTCTGCCTACATTTATGTTATTATTGTCACAAATGCACCCTACTACTACTACCCAAGAGTGTGTGTGACATAGTTGTGGTGGCAAAAGGGTTAAAGTTCACTATTTGTCTGCACTAGACCAGAAATAATGACAAAATCCCCCACTTAAACATCCACACTTAAACATAATAATATAACTATTACCATTTTAACGCTGCCACCACCAAGACAATA